GGGGGCTGGGATAACGAGATGGTTGTGGGAGATGGGGGCTGGGATAACGAGATGATTGTGGGATAGTGGGGGGGCTGGGATAACGAGGTGATTGTGGGAGATTGGGGGGCTGGGATAACGAGTTGATTGTGGGATAGTGGGGGGGCTGGGATAACGAGATTATTGTGTGACATTTGATCGAGCTGATGTGAATGTGTCGGAGTGGGTGTTGGGATACGCGAAATATTAAAAGGTTAACAAAATTACTTGTTCTGCCCTAAATGTGCTTATAGTTTCTTATAAGTTAGCCATCTCTCTAACACCAAAGCTGAAGCTCACTGATATTGACGAGGGCGTTGTTCCCGGGAAGATTGGACTGAACGTTTGGTCTGTTCAGCAAGACGTTGGACTGGAAGCTCGTGGGCACGACATGCCTTCGGGGCTGCTGTAGAGTGTCCAAGACCGGCCGGTCGTTGCACTGCACGTCTGGGATGGCGAGGCACTGGCGCAGGTTCTGATCAAAGTGAGACCCTGGGATATAAGCATATGACATGAACGTAACAGAAAATTGTATGATAAGGCATTACACAACATTGATAGTGGATCCCGGAAATTCTTACACGAGGTTCCTGTAATTAGATATCTTTATAGATGTTATGATAAAGATATATACATATGTATTAATAAACATGTGGAACTGAAAGGACGTTCCCAAGGTTCCTCTGAATAGAGCCCATGTAAGTGATAATATAATTCAATAAATATCGTAGATATGATACGAAAATGGGCACCAAAAAATCCAAATCTACCACAATGCAACCAACTATCATGATTGTTAAACAACACGAAGCCAACTCCACCATCCGAATCACGTAGTGTCTATAATTACCATTTACACTAATACCATCCCACCATCCAGGTCATGGTTCTGAAGTCCCAAATCACATTGATACCATGGCACCTTCCAGATCACGTGGGCCTCGACAAGCCCCTCTCACACTAATACCATCCCACCTTCAAGATCGCGTAGTTGTCAAAAAGTCCCAATCACCAAAATACCATCCCACTTTCAAGATCGCGTAGTTGTCAAAAAGTCCCAATCACCAAAATACCATCCCACTTTCAAGATCACGTAGTTGTCAAAAAGTCCCAATCACCAAAATACCATCCCACTTTCAAGATCACGTAGTTGTCAAAAAGTCCCAATCACCAAAATACCATCCCACTTTCAAGATCGCGTAGTTGTCAAAAAGTCCCAATCACCAAAATACCATCCCACTTTCAAGATCGCGTAGTTGTCAAAAAGTCCCACTCACCAAAATACCATCCCACTTTCAAGATCACGTAGTTGTCAAAAAATCCCACTCACCAAAATACCATCTCACTTTCAAGATCACGTAGTTGTCAAAAAGTCCCACTCACCAAAATACCATCCCACTTTCAAGATCGCGTAGTTGTCAACAAGTCCCACTCACAACAACACCCTCCCACCTTCCAGATCACGTAGGTGTCAACAAGCCCCACTCACAACAACACCCTCCCACCTTCCAGATCACGTAGGTGTCAACAAGCCCCAGTCACACCAACAATACCGCCAGTACCGGCCCAAGCTCAACTCCCCGTCACCTCACCTGGTGCACACTTCCTGACGAAAGGCTGACTGATTCCGTTAGCGCATTGATAATACCCGCCACAGTCGAACGGGTTCGGGAAAAGGCCCTCAGAGTGACCTTGACACACAAAATCTTGGGCACGAATTGAACTCATCACACAGGAGGCCACTGAAGACATTAAGAAGTTCATTTTATTTTGTTTTGTTATTAACGATTATCTTTTGTTAAGTTGTTGTTTTGTTTAAATGAGAAGCCTATTGCAATCTCTAAACAAATCATACCTCTACTTCTACTAATAGGAATGTATTTGTTGTTTTTGGTTTGTTTAGTTTTTGTACTGATGAAGGCATTTGACGAAATGTTTACATTGGTGTCCTGTGTCATCATTGTGACAGTTAAACTTATACTATATTGTTTTATTTAAACAATTATTCTTTATATCTTATTAATCTTTAAAACCAAAATTTCTCCAGGCTCTGCTTTTCGAAGAGAGCTTAAATTTGGTCCACAGTTTAGCGTTATGACAAATTTTATAATCTTTCAAATTTATTTGGCGTCCTTAATTTATCGATTAAGAAAAAAGATTATGTAATTAAAAATGTATTTACTTTTAGGTCTAAATTTTTGAAAAGTGATTTTAAAATATATTTTTTTTAAATATTAAATCTAGTAAATCTAGTCTGACCCAAATAAGAGGGTTTTTTTTTTTTTTTTTTTTTTTTTTTAAAAAAAAATTTTTAAATTTTTTTTTTTTTTTTTTTTTTTTTTTTTAAAAGAAACATTTTCAACTTATTTTCTTTGGATGCTAAGCCAGTACGTAGGTTTTGCTTCATTTCAGTGATAACATAAATTTCTTCAAATGTTGCACCCTCAGAATTTCAAGCGCCCGCAGTCTCAGAAAAAAATCGAGTAAGACTATTACAGTTACACTACTAATAGCATACATCAAAGGAGAAAAAAAGAATGGACTCACCCACCAAAGTTGCGAGCAATGACGTAGCCATGACTTCTTGTTACAAGTGGAAGAGTCTAAAGTTTCTTTTTTAAGTGATGGTGAATTTTCTTTGTCAGAAATATAATAATTAACTTTGAATTAAAGTAAATTAAAATAAAG